AAAAGCAACTGAGCCTGTATTCTTACTTCACTTGAAATGATATAAAGGTACATAATTGCATTCATTACTGTGTTCTCAGGGGGCAGACGAGTGCAAAAAAGCCTCAACAGTTAGAATCATGAAAATCTGCTACCTATGTACAGAGTGGCCAGCAGCGACTGTAGGGCAGAATTTGCTTTGGTGTGAAGCACACTGGCAGAAATCGTGGCCATCTTAGAAGTCTTCAATAAAATTGTTTGGAAATACATAGAAAAGACCACTTACAGGGGGAAAAAATAACCAAGGAACATAAGATTTTACCAAATGTAACATTAGCATTCCTGGAAAATTTTATAAAATTGACAATCATTTTAAAGTCTGTAACTATTTTTCCTCAGTTGTGAAACACTGTACTGAAGCTAAATATAAAACACTTTGATTAATTTGGTTCTCATTTGGAAGACATTTAAAGAAAATAATAATGCTCTGAAATCCCTTACAATTGAAATTTCAAGATGTTTCTCTCCACCATCAAAAACATCCAAAATAGTTGCTGCCATCAGTTTTACTAACCTTGGTTAATAGAACTGAAATTATAAGAGAATGTGCAGCTACATGGACTTGTAAAATTCAGAACATGACAAAATTCAATCTAAGTGAAGAATGTTCAGAGATTAGAATCGGGCCAAGATGTTCAAAATCTGCATGTGAACAACTTTCTTGTGGCTACAGGGAAAGTTTTGAAGGGCCTTCTTCCTTCACTGACTTCTCACAAGAGCAGAGAGCAGCAGTTGGTGACACCAGGGTTTGCATTCATCTGAGCTCATCAGCTGTTTCTGGTTGTGTGTTATTTCCACTCTGACACACACACACACACACACACACACACACACACACACACACACAGCCAGCCTATCTATGCCTTGGTCAGTACACATAAACCTTCAGCCCTAGTTTGAGTTTATAGTGTCAACAACCTTAAGTCAGAGCCTAAGGACCATTTTCATTCTCAGGCAGAACTGCTTGTAGCCCTACTCAGCTTTTGTCTTCAAAACTCAATGGTCAGATACTATTTATAAAGTCCTAGAATTTCATTCAACTGTAAAGCCATAAGATGGGGGCTTTCAAAATGAAATATTCCATTCTATTTTGACTTTTATGACATTCCCTATTTTTTCTATGTAGAATTTTAATTCCTACATACATCAAAGGCCATATGCTTTCTAACTCCAGAGCACATTTAAAATCCCTTAATTTATATTCTTTAGAACATACATTCATTATCTCCCTCCCTCCCTCCCTCCTACCTCTCTCCTTCTCTCCCTCCCTCCCTCTCTCCCTCCATCCCTCCCCCTCTCTAATTTCTAAAATGAAGATCACAATGTCTGGTCTCAAATCTAACACCAAATTATTTCCTACATAATTTTAGACAAATCAATTAATTATTTTCAGTAGCTGTAAGATGAAACCTAAGTTCTCTTCCTTGCCAAATTGATAAGCTTTTATGTGAGTATGAAATGAGGAGGCAAAGTCATTCATTTGGTATTTATTCAGCCTTTAATATCTGTCAGGAGCTGTTTATCAGATTCTGGGATTTATTTATGAAGAGGACAAATAAGGTCCCTACCCTTGTGCACTGGCATTGGGGTTAGGAAGACAGTTAGTAGGTGAAGAAGCAAAGTCAGGGTTACACCTTGTGGTAGGTGCTTTGAGGAAAGTGATGGAGAATGACAGCAACGGTGATACTTAGGGCTGTCAGGAAACGCCTCTGAGGAAGTGACATTGAGAAAGTGACACTTGAGGTCATAATATGTGAGAGGAAGCTTGCCGAGTACTGAACCATGAAAGTGCGTTATCAGCTGTGGGATGTTACCTCCGTGAGCAGTAGCCCCCTCTGGTCCCCTGTGCAGTAGGGAAGTTAGAAAGCAACAACAGATTTTAGATTGTCCTATTTCTGGAGCTATAACTGTACAGTGATCTCTGTACTTCCTTATGAACCTCCATTTTTTCATCCAAATCATTCATATCTTCCTCCTCTTCTGTTTCTGGTTTGTGCTAGCTTAACCTCGGGACTTGTCACTGTTCCCTGTCGGTGACACTTCCTTGCTCAGGCTGCTCTCAGTCCTCCCTATCACCGTTCCTATACTTCCTTCTGCTCCAAAACTCCCTGCAACTGAGTTCTCTTTCTAATGACTCTATAATTCTAAAACCTTCTCGAAGGTTTCCGAGGTTGCCTCACTTATGGCAAAACTACCTATCCTTCATAATATAAGCAACTGGCTGGCACAGTGCCTAGCACATAGTAAGTTCTAAATAAATATTTATTAAATAATGAGTGAATGACTGATTCTCTTCATCTTACTCAGTCTACCTATAGGATTAAAGGGTTTTTTCTTAATTACATGTATATTCTTTTCTCACATGTAAAATGCATGAAAAACCTTTATCTTCAGCTATATAGAATAACAAAATCTTACTCCTCATTCACAAGGTATTTCAACTTTAAATCTCTCTCTATTTGCTGGACAGGTGGAATTTTGTCATTGATCCTAAAGATACCTAGAGATACTGACAGTGTCCCTAAGACTTTTTTATAGTGTCCAGCACGCAGTATATGGCACAGCACACAGCATTTAGTATGATAACAATCCCTAATATTTCAGTTGTTTGGGCTTTTATATTAGCATCCTGAATAATCAGATATATCCATTTAGATTAAGCAGAAATTTTCTATGGAAAAATCTTTGTATTGAGGAAGTTGTCATAGTTTCAGTTAAGCAGCAACTAAAAACAGTGTTTCTTTTAAAGCAGTTTTTCAACTATGTTCAGAGTTTTGTTTTCACATTATATAGTATTATTGTTCATTAATGGCAATAATAATTTAGTCTCAAAAACTTTGAGATTTGTCAAAAACAAATCTCAAATGGAATATTCACTTTTCATAGGTATAGAGGTATGTTTAGAATAGGGTTGGGGAACCTATTTTCTGACAAGGCCCATTTGGATATTTATAACATCCTTCTCAGGTCATACAGAATAATCAGCTTAAAAATGAGCCTGCTATATTTGGTCAAACATTTAATTAACTCACCCCTAATGCCTGGGCAGGGCCAGACCAAATGATTTTGCGGGCCTTATGAAGCCCGTGGGCCGGATGTTCCCCACCCCTGGCTTTAGAATCATCACTGCCAACTTGTTTCCAGAATTGCATCTTAGGTGTTAAAGTATTTATTTCAGAGAAATAAAAATCTTATATTACATCAATTAGATATAACATAAACGATCCCTTAGTTTTAGGCATTCTCTGTTTATAACTCTAAAATTTTTAAATAATATCAAAAATATAGTCTCATTGATTTTTGTTGTTGCTTGTACTGTATACTTTAATTCAAGAAATTTTATGTAACTTTCACTCTGAATGTTTTATTTTGACTAATATAAGGTTCTGAGCCATGTGATCAGGACCGACTTTAGACACAGTTCAGTGTTTATGGTTTTATGCTTGTTCCCCTGTGGGATGTACCTATAAAGTAATGAATGGGACAGTCTTCCTAACAAACATACTAGGAGCCAAGTATCAGAGAGGCCCTTGTCCACTTCAAATCAGTCACCTCGAAGGCTACACTGTTCCAGTAACACTGTTATAACATAATAGTGTTACGAAATAGTAAAGACTATGCTAAGAAATAATGAAGACTAAAATGACATTATTCTGAATAGATCGTAGATTGTGACAGATGAATTTGATCTTGGAGAGTAGTCAGAAATCATCCCAGCACCAACTGCAGTGAATGAAATTTGGAGGCCTGTTTGGAGTTACAACTGGATGTAAAAATAATAAGATGGGCTTTCTTGAATAATACATAAACTAACTCTTGAAAGTGTCAAAGAGAAATTCCAGAACTTTGGACCTTGGAATAAATATATAAACTCCCAAGGTAGCTACTATAAGAACAGTACATGTTTAGGTTAAAAAAATGTGTATGTTTGCAAAATAAGATCAGTTTTATTACTTTATAGACATACCTTGTAGATGAAAAAAATACTTCTATCATGGAACTCTTTATAAGCAAACTTCCGAATGTAAGTAGAATTTCTGTCTCACCCTATCTGAGTCTGTTGAGAAATCTGAATTTCTAATAATGACTTATTCTGAATCTTCAGCTTTAAAAAAATATATAATGTTTTCATTTAAAAAATGGATGAATTTAGGTTTTACGTCACCATTTTCTGACTAGCTTTGTTTAGTTTGCTCTTCAATTTTTTATTTAGTAAATTATGTTCATCTTTGTCCACCCTGAGACTCTCAGAATGTATTTTCCCATTGTAAAATTATCATCAAACTCGTGAATGGAGATAGAAAATAAAGCCTAAGCTGAAGGTTAGACCTTGTTCCATATTATTTTAAACTCTGTTTGGTTGGCATTTGGAACAGTCAGATGCCTTTCTTTGTTAAAAGTGGAACCCTATTATCTTACTAAATAAGAACAGCAACTTACAAAAAGAAAAGCCTTTCTATAAAAGTAAATACTCTCAACTTTGGAGCTTTTCATTTCAACTAATAAAAACTTGAAAAACAGAATTCAACCAAGCAGCCGGGCCATGTTTTTCTCATGTAAACTCCAGGTGGACTCGTGGACGTGGACTGGGCGTGGGCCCGGAGGGCGCGCTGCCTCATCAGGGCCTTTCCACATTGATTCCACCACGTCCACACTCATCCAGGCTGTCAGGCCCCTATTTCCTGCTGCTGCGTTGAAATAATAAAAGTAAAATGGAGTGTGGAAGGCAGAGAAAATTGGTAGCCTTTTGCGGGGAGACTAAGACAGCTAAATTGTGACACAATTTAAACTGTTCAAATTCGACAAGTTTGATTGAAAAATTGCATGACCTGTGTAGTTAGAGAGCAAAACGGTCACTAGTTTATAGTTTTAAAAAGTCACAGTGTGCTGTTTTTACCGCAGACTGAGAATATTTTTTTATTCGGCCTGGTAGTAATTGTTGCACAAATGCCTGTTTTGCAGTTTGGCGATTTAAATGCTGTGTCTCCTGGAAATCTGGATAAAGGTAAGAATTTAAAATAATGTACATTTTTAAAGACTTTATTTGACTGGGAAATTCTCACAGAGGAAAATGTAGCATATGTCTCTGGCACTCTTACTCTGTGGAAACAGTATACAGTCCTAGGTGAGTATGGCTCCGATGTACTCATTATTCTTCATTATTTCTTCATTATTTCTCCATTTCTGTGCTTTCTTTATGGGAGGTGCCTTAAGTACAAGAAATAAATTTAAACACAGTTACAAGCTCATTTTGGCTTTTTGCCTGAAGTTCGTTATAAGTTCATTATTTCTGACCATCTGCAGAGTCCTAGAGAAAAGGCATAAAAGTTGCTCTAAATATCTGTATTCAAGGCCTATCAGGCAAGGAAAAAGATTCCTCAGCCTACCTATCGCCACTCCACACTTCTCAATGGAAAAGGAACTCGGAAAGAGCCGTGATGTTCACTGGAGAAGCAAGATCAATCGTGGTGTAGATGGAAAGGATAACACACATTCTCTTTAAATTATAATACCAGCATCACCACTCTAACATGACAATAGGACATATATTCCTGAAGAAACTCTTGCTCTACAAAACCACAGAGTGAAAGGAATAGGGATTGGGGGCAGGGGGAGGAGAAGGTTGGAATAGAGCACACAGCAGCAGAAGAAATCCTGTAGAAAACCAGCCCAGTTTTTATAAAAATATAAAATTTCTAATAAACAAGCACAGTAGAAAATGTAGACCTTTCTTCAAAAAAAAACAAGAAGTGAGGATAGCTTGAGGTTTTAAAGAATTGAGTTCTGGAGTCAGGGACAGAATGCACAAAGACAGGTGAGAATAACATAATTAGCCCTTCCAAGCACAGCCAGAACCAGTGGGGAAACCAAGGCAAGAGGAAGGACTTGGGGAATCTGCACATGAGTGCAGTGCTGTTTTCTGGAGCAGCCTGTCCTCGGGTACTCATTGTCCAGCTTCTGACCCTCCTTGGCGGTGGAAAACATTAATGTGCCAGGGAAGGTCACCTTCGAATCCGTGTCACTCCCATGTTGAACTCCTCTCAGTCTCTGGCAATTGTGGGTACATTAATTCCTGTTAGAGGAACAGACATAGTAGCAAAGCAGGAGAAGTAGAAAATGATAGCCCCAAAATATTGTTGCTGTACCTATATACTCTATAGGATTAACCAAATAACCCTCAGAAAGATAAATCAATTATGAGATGATACTAATTTGTAATTGAAGAGCCAGAATGGTGCCAGTTGAAGCCCATGTCCAGCATACAACCATCCTGATAGCACACTGACACCAAAGCCGTGTAACAAAAATTTTGAGGTTTCATCCCTGGGTGCCCACAGATGCAGTAGGAGTATGGCTACTTGGCTAAACACTGAATGGCAGCCATTCTTCTTTGTAAAGTGCTAAACCAAGTCTTCAGTCCACTCCAGTAGCACCTGATGTTAATTTTTCTGTACCAAATGTCCATAATCGATAGTAGATTTCTAGAAAATGTCTTGGAATCTATTGATGCATAAAATGTCTGTGGACTTGCCCTTAGGGACTGGAGAAAAGGCTTGCTTTGTAGCCTATACAAATGATCCCTGTCACCCCTAGTGACCTGCACAAAAGTGGCCTGGAGCACTGGCGTTTGTCCTGTCCATCACCTACAGTCCTGTCCATTTCTACCCAAAACGGGTAGAGAGAAGGGCTTTGCTCATTCCCTCTTCACCTGCCTACCTGCTGGAAGTTTTTATTTTCCTTTCAGTGCTGGGGTTTGTTTATTTATTTATTTATTTTTTTGCTATTATAATTTTGACACTATTTCTCAGGCACAGGAAAGAAGGTAGAGAGGGATCTAAGAAGCAATGCGATTTTACTTCACATTCTTGGAATGGCTCTGCTGGTCCCATTCACCCTCAGACATGATGCTTCTTGAGATATAGCTGAACTGTGGCATAATCAGAGCCTAAGGTTTGAATGTGAAAACTTCAAGACTTTTTGTTGGCTCTTTCCACAAAATGAGATATTTAATGTTTTTCCTGATAATGAAAGTAGTATTAGCTCTGTATAAAAATTTCAAGTAATACAGAGAATTAGAAACTATTGAGAGTGAAATTTCAAAGTCACAAGCCTAAGAGACTACTGCCATTAAGAATTTTGTGAGTTTCCTTGTTCTTTTGTTTATATATAAACAACTGCATCAACAAAATGTAAAGTATCATACAAGTGTTTTGATTATACCCTCTTGATAAAGCAAATGTCTACCAAATTTATCCTCCACGCAGCCAACCAGCCCTTCACATGTGCTTGTTCTAACATCTATTATCATCAAGTCCATTTTCCAAAGCAAAAAGGCAACCGTATAAAATAGATGGGCCAAGAGGTCTCTTGCCACACAAGTTCTTCTGTGTTTACGGTTTAAGGATGCATTACAGACGTCATTCCTGTCAGTACATCCAAACTCAGCCTTTTTCATTACATACACCGCTTCTCAGGAGATGCTGCTCCTGGCAGCTGTGCACCGCACCACGGCACGTGGAGGTCCCTGCGCCTCCCACTCAATTCTCTCTGGAACCATCTTTGCCCCGTTGATAACAAGAGAGGAACATTCAGGGCCCATTTATGTTGAGAGCTGCATTCACAGGGATTGATGTGGTAGGTGTGCCCCAAGTGGTAACACTAGACTCAACCTTAGAAAGAGTTCAACTTAATCTGACCAAAGAGCTACTTGTACATGACAGAAGAGAATAACATGAAGATTTGGTTCTGTTTCTACAAGTCACTAGAAGTCAAAAATATAACAAGTGTAGATATATTTTAATTATCGATGAGATATTTTATGTGATTATGCCTTCATCTTTTTTTGGTAAACAGTAAAACATGTCGAAGGTGAACTAAAAAGATTTTTAAGGCAAAAATTATATTCCCCGCTGTTTAAAAGTGGTCACTCCTGAAGAGGCATTCTCTATACTCCTCGGAAGGGAATCTCTCACAGCATTAAAGCTGTGTGAGCATTTTCTCTCTCTACTTTTGAATTTTAACTGTGCTGCTGGAGAATGGTATTCCATTCTAATGATGTTTTAGTTCATATAAAATGTATTAAAACTTGGAGAGACCAGTGACTAATACATTTAATTTCCAGAAATGAATACCAGTATAAACAGTGAATATCAGTGTTGCCAGGAATGGAAATCCATTGTGCATTGTTAATTTGATACTCCTGCCTCAGTCTTTATAATTTTTGGCAATAAGAATTAAGAGCCTATTTAATATTTTCATCTATAATATTTGTGCTCACCAAAAGTCTTTACAGCAACCCATGCTTGTACCTGATATATGTCATCACCAGTCTCACCTACACTAATATCAACACATAAAATGTATATCTATGTATAGATTTTTGGAGGAGACTGAAGTTTTTCTCCCTCACTCCTTCTTTTTTTAGTTAGCATTTTTCACCTCAATACATTCCCCAAACGCCAACAGTGTATTAAAGTGACTACTTCATGATGACACAACTTATGCCAAACTATTTAATACAAAAACGTTAGGAAATTCCAAAGGTCTTTTTAAATGAGTTATTAAAAGTATTAATCACAAACTAACCCTAAATAAATTACCTTTATCATGTTTGAAAGAATTATGGATGCATTAACTGATCTTTGATGCAAGTGAAATCCACGGAGAGGAAAACCTACAAGCTTTGTCCCCTGAGAAGAGCTGAGAAGTTGCTTTCCTAATGCTCCATATTAACGTGTTTCTAAGCACGAGTTGATTGCCATTTTCCAGTGTGTCTTTTGGTAATAGTCGTGGCATTATTTGTTTGTGCAGATGACGGCAGTGAAGTGGAAAGTGAAATGGATGAAGAACTAGATGACTCTTCAGAACCTCAAGCCAAGCGAGAGAAAACGGAGCTGACCCCGGCGTTTCCAGTGGGTTGTCTGCAGCCTGTTCTCGAGAGCAGCGTGCAGCCCAGCCTCCTGAATCCCATCCACAGCGAGCACATCGTCACAAGTACTCAGACTATCAGACAGTGCAGCGCGACAGGCAACACTTACACTGCGGTCTAAAGAATATTAAAGCGTATTTTTCCAGCTAACATTAACCCTGTTGATATTGGGCTTAAGTTGAGAAATTAATAAGCCTGAAGGTCGACTGTTGTCAAATTCTATCTGTGCTGAACATTACCTTTTTGGAGTTGTGAAATGGAATGGGTGTATGTATTTTGCCAGGTCTTTTTTTTTTTAAACGTAAACAAATTATTTGCCTCTTAATAATAAGAGTTTTTTCCTTAGTTTTGGGTGTCAAGAAGGATTTTTACAACACTTAATATTTTTTTCTTATAATTAAAAGTAATTTACATTTTTGTAGCTGAAAATATTTTATTGTTGATTGTTAGTCTTGGTGTATGATTTCATGTGTGAGTTTTTTATTAGATGCACTTCTGTGAAATATCAAAAGAAATGCATTTTTTATTTACACTGGAGGCATGCCCATTTGGCAGCAGATGCATCAAATTTGCTTTTGAACGGTGCTTTTCATTGGGCCGAACCACAAGACACTATTTTGATAGCATTTTGGAGGATGGAGAAAGAATACAGAGCATTTTTATGATAGTGCTAGAGGGTTGGGAAGGTCATCTATATTTCTCTGAAGAAAAATTGAGCTGTGCATTTATCAGTTCAGAGTAAATGACAGAATTGCCAGAGATTATGCTAATATGTACATAATTTGTGTACATAATGATTAAATCATGTTAATGCAAGCTTCTGTTAAACATTGAATTTTAACTGTTATTTGCATACCAATTCCTCTGTTTAATGACTACTGATTCTGTATTTGGGACCACTGCACAGATGCGTTCTGCTGTTGAGTGGGGCTGTTATAGTTAGAGACTGAAGCTGAAAATGACTTGACTTTTTTTTTTAAGTGTACATGCTACTTATGCTGAGCTGGACATACAGGAAACCATTCCATTTGGATGACTTTCTTTTATTCCAGGTCTTTTTCCTAATAGTAGTTCAATATGCTGCTATTATAAGAGAAAATTTATAGAATGCAAGGAATGTAGCAACCTGCATATCGTTCTTTCGTTCAAAAATATTTCCTGGTTTCTAAAGTATGTGGATTTAAATTTTAAACAGAACCTGAAGGCAGTGTAACTGGCACGCCATACTGTTGCTTATCTCCGATTCTGTAGGATTTGGATAGGTGGCTTGATGGACCAGTGCCGCTGAAGAATGTACATCAGGGATCATTGTACCTCGGCTATAACATGGTGCCTTAAAACAGAACTGAAGCTAAGGTTTAGTAAGGCTTATTTTGTTCCTGTAAATTCCTCTTCAGTCCATTTGACAAGCTGTGCCTGTCATTGTCAGATTCCCGAAGTAAGGACAGGTTACATGTTCTTCAAAGGAAATTTAGGGCAAACAAAGCAAAACAAAAAGACGAAAAAATCAGTTTCCCTCTTTGAGTAACCACGAACCTATTTTTTGTTCTTAGAACTGAATAATACTTGATTATAAGTTAGATTGCTTAAGGGTATGGAGTAGCAAGCTAGTTTTAATCACCAACTTGTTACATAAAACATATATATGTTAGACCATTCTTATCTAGTTATAATTTAAGAAAGTTAAAATAAGTAGGTACTTATCGAAGTGCATCTTTTCAGTCTCTGTGTTTGTCTGTGTGTCTTGGTGTCTGTGTCCACATGCACACACGAGTGCCCATGGGCGGAGTCAGCTACCACAGCAGAAGGTGAGATCCAGGAGTGGATACACCATCCCCATGTTAATTTACATGAAGAGCCAAGGTTCTTTTAAGCACTCAAATTATTAACAACAACAAAAAACAGGCACATCCATTCATTCAATTCGTTCTTAAAAAGCTAATAAGCAAAAATAAGTACATAAAGCCAAAAAAAAGGGAAAGCACAAAATTATTTACAGATTATTAATGAGACCTATATGAAATTCAAGATGTTTATCTTTCCAGTTTTATTGGGGTGAGGGTGGGGGTGGAAAGAAGAGGGTGAGCCAATCTGTAAAGTTAAAACTACCAAATGGCTTATTGGGTAATACACAGTCTATTTCAACTGTTGTTGCTCGATTGCCTTAGACTACTCAGATAATTGAGGTCAACAGGTTTCTTCAGTAAACATTAAATGCATTAGATGTAATTTTTTTAATTGATTCAAATTTTGTATTATACAGCTCATACTAGTATATTCAAAAGTCTTTTGCTGGCTTATCGCCTTTATCTAAATATCATTTAAATTATCACCTCCCTTTTCCTCCCAAAAAGGCAATGAATTTGTACCATCACACACACACACACACACACACGCGCGCGCGCGCAAACCAGCAAGCAAGACCCCTTAAGCTGCAAAGACCATGTATCTACTTCATTGTGCATTAGGAAACATGGACAGGTACATTTAAATCAAAAAACTGAAAAGGAAAAAACCCCCACACTCTTTGTTTTGACCCTCCTTTCTTGATTTTTCACTTTCCTAACCCTTTCCACCACACCCAGAAGTACGCTATATTTGTATTGGACCAAATGTATTTACCGGTATCATCTTGCTTATTGAACAATTTTAAATGTATTTATTATAATTGTTTCCTTTACTTTAGTGTTGGATATATTTGTTTTGTTAGAGGAATCTGATAATAATGGGCATATTTAGATTAATGAAAATTAGAGACTGGGGATCCTCCAAGGTTCAACATTTCTTCTAATTGTTCATGGTTTGTTCTAAATTTAGACAGATCAGGAATTAATATTATTATATTTCAACTTGACTCACTAAAAATATTCTGATCTCCTTTATGAATACAGTTAGGAACATAAATTCTTTGTGACAAGTATAGATAGTTCTGACCCATAGACAAATATCTATGATCTATGCTACTTCCTGTTATTTGAAATCCACAGTAAGACACATACACACATATACAGTCACAAACAAAAATCTTAACAATTTTGAACTTGAATTGTGAAATGTTTTACAAAATAAAAACATCATAATTTATACCTTTGAGCAAATTGGAGCAACCACATTTATTGCATTTATTAAACATTTTATTTCCATTTTTCAGTCATTGAAACTGACTTTTTAAAATAACATTAGACACTAATACAATAGGTTTATTGACAAGTGACCAGGACAAATTTTAAGAACTTAATGTTTCATAGCATTATAATCAAACACTAGTCCTGAAAAATATCTATATAGACCAAGTGATAAACTTTCAGTGAGGAAAAATGTGAAGAAGGTTTGTTGGCTATTTTCAAGTTTCAGAAAAAGTATTTCCATGTAATAGGATCAAGTATCAATATGATCTTCGTGTATTAGTATACATCTCTAAAATATTTACGTTCCTACAGCCCATGAACAAGAGGCTGAAATGGGTGAACTGTCCACTTGGACCCAGTTTAAAAACAATTTTTGGATATTAAGTGGCTGGTCACTTTTTCAGGATTTTCATCCAAACTATGTTTAGACTGACTGTATAAGTCTTGCTGCCTTTTCAGAAATCTGCTTTCCTTTTTGTGCTTTTTCTTGTACTGTATAGCACGGTTCATGCACCTCTCTTTAGATGGTGTACTTTAAAAACAAAAATAAATTTTAGAAAATGGTTTTAACACTGCATAACTAAAATTAGTAGTGTGCAATGTTGACTGCCTTTGATGTGTAGTAGACGAGTGAAAATGAACATGTTCTTGTAGAATGCTGTCAAAATCATTCAGGAATGAACACGGTTTCATTACTGTAATCATGAACCTTTTTACATGAATGCACTTTCTAGAAGTGCTAAATGTGATGCATTTTCAAAGTTTAAAAAATCCTTCAGATGATATATTTGAGATGTCTAAAATAATGCTGTGCTTGAAACATTTGTGTAAAAGAAAAGATGTGTGTCACTGTGATGCTGGTCCTACCTGTGTGGACAGAAGTAGAAAGTAAAAAAACTTTGGCAAGTCACCTTTGTGTACAAGTTGAGGCAGTGGTTATATAAAACAAATTGACCTTTATGATGACCTCCCTACCCCCAAATTCTTGGTGAGACAGTAACAACCACCAAAAAATCAAAATCAAACCCTGTGATTTGTATGAATCACACAGGACATGGGGGAGAGAGGTTGACATGCAGTGAAAATTGGGCTTGTCACTAGATCAGATCAACCTCCATGTATATGGTTAGAACAAATCAATTAATGGAACCCTAGTATTTCTGCAAGTTTGATTACTTTAAAAAAATAACTGGAATAGAAGCATTAATTCAGTGCTTAGTTCTAGTGTTAGAAACCCCTTTGATGTAATGCCTTGTATTAACCCTTTGAGCATTGTAAGATATACAATGGGGGACAAAAGCCTTTCAGATCCTTTATTTAGACTTAGACCGGTAAAATATACTCTATATCCAAATGTCTAATTATGCTGATTTTTTTAAAGGGGGGGTAGGAAGAGAAAGTGTTTTTACGCCGAACACTTGCATTTTATATACGACTCTTAATTTTCTTCAAGAGGGCTTGATATATTTATTCCCAAATATTCACTGCCATCTAAGTAAGTGTACTGTTTACAAAAAAAAAAAAAGAATCAACTTTTCTAGTATCACAGCATGACTCTAGAAAAGGACGACCACATGGGCCTGTGGACCCATGTCAGACCGATGTCTGCACATTGAAAGTACCTAGATTGCCTTTAAAAGGTGTGATAAAGAAAGGGTTACATTTCCCCCCGAAACAAAACAAAAGATCTCATTTATTTAGCTTTAGAAAGTACAATTGTAAGTGAAGCCTTAGGAAGAAACGAGTTCGAGTAGCTAAAGAAAAGCTGAACTCTTTGGGGGCAGGTAAGCTGTTTGGAGTTAGATCTCTCATAACACATTGTTTGGGAATTTCATACAGGGCATAATTTAATCTATGCTCCAAAACTTTAATACTTTGTCAAAGAAAATTATATAGAGATAGAATGGAGAGCGAAAGCACTTGATTCGAGCTCATCTGATGCTGTGACTACTGCTTCTGACACCTGGAAACGCCAGTCTGCTCACACAATTGCTGACTCTGTTCACGGGCACTCTGCGTGCACTGGACTCCTTTGTCCCCTGCCTGATGGAACACGAGAGCAGTGTCGTCCGCAGATGTACTTGCGCTGCCCTGGCCGGGCACAGATAAAACCGTTAACCTATTCCAATGCCTGGTGAAAGGACATCCATAGCCTAGTGCAAGTTTGCCGTAAACGTTGCTTTTTAGGCAGTTTAGGAGGTCAAACCATGCAAATTACTCATGTGTTAACATGCAATACTCAAAGGGTTTTAATTTAACTCTCTTCTTTTGAATTCTTCATGATGATTTACTGTAAATGCTTCTCAGTTTGCATGCTCTGATCATTGCTGCTAGTGATTTACGTGCCAGTAGACCTGAGTTTAGTTTACCAATTTTACTTAAA